AGATTTATTTTCATACCTTTTGTGCCTTTCTTTATCTTGGATCTTTCTCTTGAGAAACTTGTTGAACTTTTTGACCAACAATCCAAAATTCTCACTTTCTTCTTCTGATTCTTGATCTTTCTCTTCAGCTTTGAGTGTTATGCTCATACATTTGTTTTTAGAGATTTCTTGCTCATTGAATCTGTTAATTTCCATCTCATGCTCTCTAAGTTTGCCAAATAAAGAGGTTGTTGTCATGATGGACAAGTCTTTTGACTCTGATATTGCTGTGACCTTAGGCTGCCATGACCTGTCAAGACATTTCAAAACTTTTATATTCAATTCCTCTTTATCAAAAGTCTTACATAAGCCCATTAGATGATTGATGATGTGAGTAAAGCATTTTTGCACATCTGCAATGCTTTCTCCAGTTTGCATCTTAAACAAATCATATTCCCTGATGAGAGTATGCTTTCTAGCTCTCTTCACATCAACAGTTCCCTCATGAGTAACTTCAAGATCCTCCCACATTTCCTTGGCAGATTTGCATTGAGATACTCTGAAAAATTCATCCATGTTAAGAGCATAAGTAATTATGTTTTTAGCAGTACAATCACTTTAAACTTTTCCTTTCTCTTCATCATTTAAATTGGACCATTCTTTTTTTTTGTAATTAATGGACCATTAAAAATTGCATCCCAAACATTTCTATCAATAGATTCAATAAAGATCTTCATCCTAATCTTCCAAAATGGATAATTTGTACCACAAAACAGTGGATGTCTATTAATAGAAGCTCCCTCAGAAAAAAGGTAATTTGTTTTCAGCCATGAAAGATTTGGACCGAAATTCTTGAGTATTTTTCAAGACCCTGCTCTTGATACCAATTATTAGAAAAAAAGGTTGAGATCAAGAGGGGGGGTGAATTGATCTTTGAAAGATTTTCACAATTTACAGATTATCTATTTCAAAGATTAAGAGTTTTGACCAATTCTTGAACCAAGAAAATCAAGCTATTCAAAGTAAGACAATGACAGAATTAAAGAGAGTAAAATTTAGAGCAATACAACCAAGATTTATACTGGTTTACCCAATCTCAGGGCTACTTCTAGTTCTCATCCAAATTGTAGCTGAGTTCCACTAGATTGAATGTTTTACAGAATACAGATAACAATCACACACCCAATCTACCACAAGACCCAAATTTCAGATCTTGCACCTAAACCTTTACCAAGAACCAAATTCTAGTTCTTGAACCAACCTACAGCCAAATTCTAGCTACAGAACCAGTGTCCAACAATTCCAGACACCCACAATACAGTAAAGAAATGAAGAGAAGAAACTAGGACAATCAAACCCGAATTATGCAACTTCTACATAATGAGTTTCTTCACCAAAAGAATGCAAAATTTCCTCAAGAAAGAACTCTAAAAAAAACTCCACAAACTTGCGCGATTCTTTCTTGAAAATAGCTCTTATGATTGCTTGATTGATTGCTCAAAAGTATATTTTAAAATGTTGAATCAAATCTGTTTATATAGAGAAGTTTTTCAACTACTAGTGTAATTCATTTGTTAAAAAAATCTTTTAATATGTTAAAAGTCTTTGATCAATCGGTTAAAACTTCTTTTAATCTATTAAAATGTTCTTGATCATTTTCCAAATTATTTTAACTTGTGCAATATCGTTTCAATCGATTAAAACAATTAACAGAAAGTCCTTTAAGTTGTTTTAATTGATTAATTCGCAATTTAATCAATTAATATTCTGCCAAAACTTTTCACAAAACTTTCTAAGTGATTTTAATTGATAACAACTAGTTTTAATTGATTAAAACAATTAGCAAAAAGTTCCTTAAGTTGTTTTAATCGATTAATTCGATTTTACATCAATTAAAATTCGACATAACACCTTTCAAAATATTTCAAGTTGTTTTAATCGATTATTTCAAATTTACATCGATTAAAATACTGACAGTAACATATTTTAAAACACTTCAAGTTATTTTAATCGATCGTTTCGAGTTTATATCAATTAAAATACTGTCAGAATACTTTTGAGAACATTTTAAGTGATTTTAATCGATTATTTTGAAACTATATCAGTTAAAACACTAGCAGAAGGTTTGCAAAAACTCCTTTAATGAAAATAATCTATTAATTCGAAAGTGTATTGATTAAAACAGTTCCAGTGAATGTTTTAAATGGTTTTAATCGATTATTTCGAAAATCTATCGATTAAAAATCTGTCATGTAAGTTTTAAGAATATTTTAATTGATAAAGCTCATATAATATCAGTTAAAACAATTTCTTAAAAATAGTTTAATTGATTGCTTTGGTTTTCAACGGATTAAAAACATCTTTAGAGCCATTTTTCAAATTCTTTTAAATGATGAAACTTCATGTAGCAGAGGGATATGAATGATTATACCTATATATAGATGTAAACTCATTAATCACTCTACCCTTTAACCCAAGTAGCCTTTGACTTCATCAAATCCACAAGATCCTTCATCCTATCAAATGATCCAATAAGATCTTCATCACTTTCAATATCAGCACCTAATTTTGTTTGGGTAAATAAAAATAAAATAATGATAACAACATTTATTTAGAAAATATTTAAAAAAAAGGGGAAAGAAAAATATTAAAATATAAAAAGAAGGAAAAAAAATATAAAATAAAAAAATGATTTCTTTTGAGTACTTTAAAATAAAAAGGGAGAAAAGAAAAAAATGTAATAACAAAAATATATAAATAAAAATTTAAAATGCAATTTTATTCTGGGCCCGACCCATTCATCATATTTCATCCTAATTTTAATTAAATTTTCTCTTTTAAAAGGTAAGGATGGAAAAGGGAAAAGGGAAAAGGGAAAAGGGGAAAGGGGGGCCCGGATACAACAGCTAAATAGATTTTTTTTCCTCCTTCACTAATGTTTTGTTTGGTTGGAGTGATTTGAGAGAGTGGAAATGGGGGTGTGGAAAAAGAGGAATTTGAAGAAAAATGGAGGTGAAATTAAAGTTGTTTGGATGAATGGAAAGTGAAAGAAAAATTTATGGAAAATTGTGAGTGATTTGATTGATATGAGATATAAAAATTATAATTTTAATTGATGATTTAAGAAAATTACCATTTTACCCTTGTGTATAAAATAAGGTTAAAATTATTATAAATATAATTTTTTAATTAATTATCCATATTTTAACATTGATTATATATTAAAAAAAAACAAATTTAAAAGTGTTTGTAAGTGGAAACAAATTTAAAAATTAAATTTTTTTAAAATAGTTATTAAAAATTATATAAATAAACAATTACAAAATTATTTACATTGCATATCCATAAAAAAATAATTTTGACATATTAAATAAATTATTTGACTAATAATTTAATAATTATAAAATATAAAATAATAATTAATATTGACTAATAATAACAAATAATTATGAAAACTAATAATATAATTGTAAATTATTATTTTAAATAAATATAAAATATAGTGAAAATAGAATAATAACTAAATGAAAAATTCATGTAAACTTAATAGTAAAAATATTTTATTATTTAGTTAAAAATTATATTAATATATATTTTTGTCATATTTTTATATTTTCAACATAATATATATATATATATATATATATATATATATATATATATATATATTAGAATTACATGTGATAAATATTAATTATCAAATAATATTAATTAATACGGACATTAGAATTACATATCATATATTAGATATTATTTATCAATTATATATTATAAAAATTACAATTATATAATTAAAAAAATATATCTATATAATTTTATAATGTTTTATATAAAATTTATAGTTTTAAATATAGTTTTAAAAAGAATTATGTATTTATTAGATTAATAATATATTTAGAATTTTGGTTGAAAGTAGTAAAATATAATTTTTATTTGTATGATTAAATTTTTTTAATTTTTTACTTTATTTGATATTGTAATATTTTTTTATAAGTGACACATATATGAATAATTAGTTAGAATAAATTAGAATAAATGTTAACCGCTCTTATAAATTAATTATATATATATATATATATTTTGCATAAATTAAAATATTAATTATCAACTTGAAAATAATTTATATTTAATATATATATATATATATATTATAAAATATAATTTATATTAATTACTATAATATAAAATATATATTCCAAAATATATATATATATATATATATATATATATATATATATAATTTTACATCAAACTATTTTTAAATAATCGACATTTTAGATAGCGGTTCTAGATTTAACTGCTATCTAAAACATATTTAGATAGCGGTTAAAGTGGAATCGATATTATATGTTCACTTTTAAGAGCGGTTAAAGTGGAACCGTTATTATATATGTGTCACTTTTAAGAGTAGTTAACATTTTAACCGCTCTTAAAAGTGGGCATATAATAGTGGTTCCACGTTAACCGATTATCTAATATATATTTTTAATAGCGGTTAGTTATAAGCTGCTATCTAAAATCTGTATTATTTGCAAAAGTAATCGATTATTTGAAAAATTATATATTCTAAAATATAATTTATTTTGATTTCTATAATATATATAAAAGAAAATAAGTTATATTTTGAAATATATATTTTATATTATAATAATTAATATAAATTATATTTTCTTAACTTTTTGCATAGATTCTTTCTATATATGTATGCACCAGTCAATAAATCTTGCATAATGAGAGTAAATTGGACATTCAATTTATCCTAGTAGTATTCATCTCCTTCGTGCATCAGCGACCAACTTCTTTTTCTATCTACTGTTTTTTTTTTTCACTTTTCATTTTGTCTTATTTTTGTTGAATCAAATGTGTGTTTGTATCTTCGGGAACATTATGTCAGCAAAAACAAACAGAGGCTAACCTTCACCGACACTCACTCTCTGGTCCCTGCACAAAACCTCACCCTTCTCTCAATCTCTTCCCTCACCAGCAGGTCCCGCACACAAAATCCCCATTTCCCAAATCACTCATGCCTGACAGTCGCGGACCCCACCACCTCCTACCTTTTTCTTCACTGTCCCTCTTACAGCCACCACACTCCACCTTAAGTCACTCCTCACCTCATCCCCTCACCCCGTTCCTCTCTCAATCTCCACTCTCCTCCATTCATCTCACACTACGGCCACATCCACCGCGCGGTTAACCACCATGGGTCTTAGCCGCGCCACTAACCCCATACCATCTCCCTTATCAAATCCCCTGGCCAGCCGCCTTGAGTCGCTGCGGCTTCGCCACCATGCCCTAACTCCAACCACAGTCACCACCTCGAACGCTACCCACCGCGGGTCTCAGCCGTGCCACCCCCATCGCAGCCCACACCCAGCACTAACCTAGCCCTATCCGCGCGCGATTCTGCGCGGCGCCTCCACCACCTCATTGTGCGCACCACTCTTGCACCTCCACCTTTGCAGTCGTAGTCCTAGTCAACTCGAATCCACCATGCGGCTAACCACCACGGGCCTTGATCAAACCTTTCCTGGATCCCATTCCCATCTCACCACCATTCATCCTTAGCTCACGACCACCGTGCCTCCACCTAGCAAGCCCCTGCTGTCACCACTCTCCCCTCGTCCTGTTGCACACCACGGAACCACCAGCATCCCTACTCCCTTTAACCTCCCCCAAATCATCATCGTGCAACACCAGCCCCTAAACCACCGCGAATCGCGCCACCAGCGGCCACCACGAGCTCCATCGCGAACCCCCGTGCTTCCCGTGAGCACAGCACCCCAACACTGCTTGACCAAATCCAAGCTGAGTGGGTTTGATTATTTTTTGTCTCTTATCTGAGCTTGGGTTTGATTGTGGTTACACGTCCTTGCCTGGATATAAAATTGTTTTGCTTCGTTTGTGGCCAATTCATTTTGTTTACGTTTAAACCAAATTTTAGATTTGTTCGCTGCCTGGTTTAAGTTCGTCTTGTTCTGATATGGGTTATATGGTGGCTGTTTGGATTTTGTTAGATCGAGTATCTTGGATTTGGTTGTATTGGGTATAATTGATTTATTACTTTTTGTCTGGATATATTTTGTTAGCTTGAATCTGTTGCTTTTCTTTCGCCTGGTTCGGTGGGTTAAAATTGGTCCTGATCGGGTGGGGTTGTCTGATTGGTTGGTTATATGTTATTGCTTAACGACTTAAGGATTGAGTTTAGGTTGTCTGATAGGTTACTATTAATTAGAATAAAAAGTCAACAATTTTACTATTAACAATTCTAAAAAGTTGATTCAATCTTTTTATTAATAATAAGACCAACTTAAATACAAATAATAAAATAAAAATTGATTAAGTCTTAAACATAAATATGAACCTATGTAAAAATTAAATTATGGATTTTGGCAGTATAGATTAATTCAAAATATAAGTTAAATGAACATAAATTAGATAAAGATTATTTTACTTATATATGTACCTTTTTTTTACTTGTCAAATTATTATACTATATTTAAGTATGGAAAGAATATAACATTAGTTAGTTCAAATTTGATTGTATGATGTTATTTATGATGTTATTTATGCAGTAAGAGAAAAATAGTTATTACATTACATATATTCATTACTTGAAAAACTTTTTTTTTTTATGGTGGATATTGCACTTTTAAGTTTGTGTTCTTAATCATATTTTAGACAAAATTGAATGGAAAATCTCCTACCTCATCATAGTTGTTTCGCAAAACACACCAACGAAAGGATAACACATGAGTGGATCAAAGATCGAGTACATGTGGATGTAAGTGTCTTATTTTTTTTTATATGTTAATTTGTTAAACAATTGTATACTTTTTTTTATCCAATTAATTATTATTCTATTTTAATGTTTATAGGCGAGTTTAGTCGTGCATGGGAAGAAGTCTCCTAATCGGGATTTATTGCGGGAGGCTCTCGCTCTGATGAATTATAGGTTTGGTGTAAAGTTGTTGGAATAAATAAAGGCAAGGTATATAGGCTTGGATCTGAGTTAAGCAAAGCAATTGGGAGAAATCTTTGTTAGGACTCTACTTCATCATCTGTCCAGCTTATAGAGACACTAGTGCAAAAAGGGGTTTTTACGTCAGGTATTTAGGGCTTTTTACGTCGTATTTAAGTCCGACGTTAAAGCGGAAGACGTAAATTTACGTCGGACCCTTTTGCCCGACATAGATTTACGTCAGTTATCCAGATCCGACGTAGATTTACACTAAACAAACGTAAAAACCTTTTCAATTTAAAAAAAAATAGAAAATTTACGTTGCATATGGTATACGCGACGTAAATTTACGTCGCATATACCAATATGCGACGTAAATTTATTGTTTTTTTTTTAAATTGGGTTTATTTATTCTGTTTTACAACTAAAACCTGCAAATATTACAACCAGACAGATCCGGATGTTTAATTTTCTTTAGCTAGTAAATTAAAAATATAATATTATATAATTCAAACTACATAATAAAACAATATAATATAAACATACAAATTAAAAAATCTATTACAAACTAAGCTACCTATACAAACTAAGCTACCTATACAAAATAAGCTACCTATACAAACTAAGCTAAACTACATAATACACACAATATAATATGAACAAGAACTTAAAAAATAATGTACTAGAATTGTTGAACAAAAAATTTTGCCCATTGTTCTCTAATTTACGTAATCTCGGATTCCGGTAATGGAGATGGATCTTGAAATACACGAAACATGAATTTGACTCTTGTAAGCATGCAACATGAATAAAGTTAAATAAACTTAACTAATGTTAAAAATAATTACCTCCAGTCCAAGAATCAATTAAACCCGCACAAACTATGGCTCTCATCCAATACATTACATAGTAATCACATTCAAACGAGTCAGTTTGTTTATTACATCGAAATGATGAAAAAAACATAATATTATTTTCAAAATTGAAATACAAATAATAATTATGGTATTCACTTATATAAATAAGTTTCTAACCTTAGGATAAATGAACTGCAAAGTCTTTGTTCTAGGTTTTCCACTTAGAACATTAGTTCGGACATACGATTTTAAGTGAAAAAAAGTCATATATTATTCAATATGTATTCACAATTTAAAAACATAATTAATGAATAAAAGATAAAGTTACCCTTGTAATAAACTTTTCATTTCTTGACTCGGTTTCCGATGTAATGAACAAAACCACACCACGGTGTAATCCGGGGCATGATTACAATTAAGCGCCAATGAGACCTACATTGTATGACATAAAAATTAGTTACAAAAATATAAATTAAAATACAAATCAAAATATTAACCCTTCAATGTATGGAGCCAAATATACATGTCTTCTTGAGTCACTCATCCATGTTTGCATATATCGTTGGATTCCAACATTTGTATTTTCATATTTTTGGATGGATTGAGGCTCAATAAATCCATATACTTCGGATTTTTCTTGTTCCACACTCAAATTGTCAAGGTACCTAAAACAATTAATTATAAGTTAAATATAATTATTATAATCTTAGAAACATAAATGAAAATGACTTACATTGCCCACAATTGTATGATGGAAATGTTTAACATGCAATTTTCCCCAGCAATTTCTAAAGCATCGGGTAAGGAAATGTACGATGGAACACTGGAATTGTCAATTCCAAACACTCTAACATCCCATTGTATCGACACGGTCTCTTCCTCAACCGTGGTAATACTAGCTAACAACATAGAGATGAGATCATCATCACATTACATCAAATCCTCATCAATAATAGGTTGTTTTTTATGCTTAGCACGACGCAAGTCCTCCTAAACAAATGATAACAATTAATTAAACATTTATATAATTATAATACTAGAAAAGAGTAAATAGACAATATGTATATATGTATATATATATATATATATATATATATATATATATATATATATATATATATATATATATATATATATATATTACCTTGGTCTGTCTGATAGTGGCATAACCAAACATCTTGGCCAAGCCAAGAATGTCCCGCTTGCCTGCCCCACTATTTGAATCTCTTCATTAGGAAAAGGCACTTGGAGCATTAACATCATGAACTTCATCAACTACTACTCGTGTCCAGTCAGGTCGTAGAGGGACACCATGGATGGTTAACCCACCCTCAAAACTCGACCAACGACCACTAGACGCGGGGGTCATCTTCAACATATAACTCACAGCTGGTGTGATGCATCGATCCGAGTATATTCTCCTAAAGGATCAACGAGTAGTAGCGACATAACTCCCTTTAGTGCTGACTCGAACAATATCATGTTCAATTGTTTGAGGTGTTCCTTGAGTCCGTTGCGAGAGCGGGCGAGAGATTCAATTTTCTCATCAAACTCTTGTTGCAATGACTGCCTTATTTGATTTAATTTTTCTTCAAACTGCATCTCCATTTTATGCAAGACCTCCTGGCTGCAAGAGTCGCGGTGGTCCTTCGTGATGTTGGACCAAAGTAATCACGAAGGCCCCGGGTTCCACCAGCACCACGCACACGTCTCGAGTAATCTGGTTTTCCTATGGTCTGTCGCCAATATATCTTGTCGACCATGAGGAATAAATGATCCTTGGCTGATGCCGCTCAACTAAATCATCCTACAACACATTAACAATAATTAAGTCATACACCAACTTTCAAATTAGAATCAATTCAAATTGACATTATAACTTACGATTTTACGAGCAATGATTCGTGCGGAATCGAAGTCATTTGTCCATCAGATTTTGTCCGGCTGCCTTCCACATCGATAGCGAGGGGTGGAGATGCAAGGTCGATAAAATCAACTCCTGCCGACTCTTCTCTGGATTTCATGAGACGTTGCTCCAATAATGCATACCCTCCTCGTGACAATACATGGGGTGCATCATTCAACCTCCGACGTTGTTGGGCGGCTTGTCTTTTATCCTGCCAAGAGGGGTCCATTCGGTCGACACAAAGCGTAACCAATCCTCCTCACTAATTTGATACTTTATACGAGGAGATTCATCTCGAAACTAATACATACTCCGTGTCAAGAAAGTCTTAAAGTCCCTCCATCTAATGGAAATGGAGGATAAAATCTTCTTCCTCATCACCTCGGTGTTAGGAACATCAAAATTTTGTCTGTGAAATGACCAATAAATGTTAAATTCAATTAATAATGATATATAAAGTATTCAACAAATATAGAAATACCTGAACATCCTGCCACATGAGGTTCTTCTCGGTTTCCTCAACATCATCCCAAGATGGAGTAGTAATCGGAACATGGTGTCGAGCTAGTAGTCCCAAATAGCTCTTAAACTTAGCGAGCATTTGGGCCGGATGCCTTACCGGAACGTGGATCAACTTCAACTTGAGTTTTCTCTCTAGCTACCCTCCTTCGTTGTCAACCCCTTTAATCGAGTGACAGATCTACCTTTATCACCACTTCCAGCTCCCGCCACCTTGCCACTTACCGAGTACCAGTTGTGGAATCAGACATATCTCGAAAAACAAAACAATATGAAGTCAACATACTTTATAAGTTTGAATAAAAAGAACTAGAAAATGTGAAGATAAACACCTATTATGTTGGTATGTTTTCCCATATCCCTTCATCATGATCACTTCGAATTGCATGTATGTCATCAACTTCATTGTCAACTATGTCATCAAATGGTCTACTTGAAAAT